CCCCCCCCCATGTAAATCTTATCTCTCACTGAAGATGGGAATTTCATTCAACAAAGGTTTATTAGCTTGCTTCATTCTATGCAAGTCCCAATGTGGGGAAATGGAATGGTGAGAGAGCACCTAAATCTTCCCAGAGAGCTTTAGCTTTGTCTTGGTCCACCCTTCCTAGGAGGCCTCTGTGACCTCAGCTGGGAATGGGATAAAGTGATGGCCTTTGCTGTTTCCATGGGACTAATCAGCTAAGAGCAGGGCCACTGCCAGCATTGGAGTGGCCCAATGTGAGACCTGGGAGCCCAGAAGTATAGAGGGGTTGGTCAATGGCCTGGGGACAAACCTACCTGAACCAGAGCTGAACTGGCAAACTGGGGTGAGGGAAGATGAAGGCTGTGCCCCCCAGCAACCTTCACTGACTTGCAGGTGTGGAAGTGACCTGGGAGTAAGGACTTGGATATTCTCAGGTGCTGAGGGCATCAATACCAGCAGGGCTAAGCACCAGGGCCTGAAGGATGTCCGAGAGGGATACCACACCCAGGAGATGCTGAGTTTCATCCACTAACACCAGCCGGTGCACCTGCGGGTCCAGAGGATTTGATGAGGAGTTCAGAGATGTCTCCAGGGAATGAGCTGGTAATGCCTCTGATTACTCAGCTGGCTGTGGTCTGGCACAAGTGCCCAACAGACAGGTCCTGGTGCATACCAATGTGGCTGCCAAGAGTTGGCCATTAAATTGGAGGGCAGGCCAGGTGCCCAAAGATTGGAAACGCCTAGAGCTGTGATTGGAAGAATGGGACCATCTGTGCTGGGGACATGTGTGGAGGGGTACAGGGTACCTGTTCCCTGGCAATCCTGTCAATCACTTCCCCCAGGGTCTCATGGGGCTGGCAGGAAAGGACTCCCTCCAGACACTGTGTCCTCTGCCTCAGGGCTTCTCCTACACTCATGTCGAGGTGGTTGTAGGTTTGCTGGGCCGCCAGATGCTGGAACAGGGAAAGAAGGAGCGCTGAGTCACCTCTCACCCAGGCTCTGGCCCCACACACGGCATGCTCTACACACTTATAAAGCCTGTCCACAGATACTCCCCAATGTTACTCACACGGCAACCTCCCTGCAGCACCCTTAGGGTCCCCACAGACACTTACAATCACATCAAAGCGGGAATAGAGGCCCACGACCTGACCTGCAGGAGGAGAAAGATGGGGAAGAAGGCAACATCAGGACCAGGTCCTGTGCAAACGGCCTGGGGCGGGTTTTTGTAATGAACTTAACATAGTCTAAGCTGCTTGCTGGCTTTGTAATGAGGCAACAGGCTGTCCATACCTGAACCACAAATCAACTTCGCATCTCAGAGGGGGAGACGGCCTGACCTTGTGCCTACTGATGAGATGCTATGTGGGAATATAGTATTGCCTATGAAAGATTCTACCCTCAAGTGTACAGTCTCAGCTCATTATGCCTTTAGATCTCATTTCTGGTTTACAGGAATCAGGAACAGAGGAACAAGGTAAAGGCCACCTGTAGGAAGCAAATGGACAGGTGTGGAAGTGCCATATCTGGCAGGACAACTGATATGGGTGCTTCTACTTATGCATGTCATGAAAATGAAGGGGGAAGGGAACTGTTCTAGATTGAAAGAGACTTAAGGGACAAAGACAGAAATGCAAATATGAACTTTACTTGGATCCAAGCTGGAATAAATCAACTGTTTTTAAAAAGACATTCTTGGGGGAATAGAGAAGTGAGAATACTGGGCAGCATTAATATGTTATTCATAGTTTTGTTAGGTTATGTAAATATAATGCAAATCATATTTCTTTTAAGAGATACTGACTGATGTAGCTGAGAAACTTAAATTTCTTCAAAAAGATGAAAAAAGGGGATACAGATGAATGTCCATTTTGTATCTGTGTATTCAAAATGGTTAGGATAGATATATAGTTACATTCTCTTAATGAATAGAGGGATTTGTTCTAATAGTGTTTGTAAATAGGATATCATGTCTGCATCTTGTACAGCAAATAACCACTAGGAACAGAGTATGCAGTGTGTTAATTATTGAAAGTGTCCTACCAATTTGATTTGAAACTGTCTCATTGCTATTTGTCTCTCAATAAAATTATGGAAAAAAAGTTGAACTGATTATAGTAATATGTTAACAATGGTTAATCCAGGCAACAGATATATGAGGTTCATCATAAAATTTTTTCTGCCACTTTTATTCATTTAAAATTTTATTAGGGGCTGGGGAGATAGCTCAGTAGAATAAGCGCTTGCCTGGCAAGCGCAAGGACCTGAGTTCAATCCCTGGCTCTGCAAAAATAAATAAATAAATAATTTTTAAAAAAATAAATAAATAAAATTTTATAATAATAAAAAATGAATCCAGGCTGAGGCAGGAGGATTGTACATACAAGGTCAGCCTTGGCAACTTCGCAAGATCTTGTCTCAAAATTAAAAAATAAAAATAAAGTGCTGAGGCTATTAGTTCAGTGCTGCTTAGGTCTAATCTCCAGTACCATAAGAATAAAATAAAAATAAATCAAAAGCACTTCTTGATATCTAGCTTATTATGGTGAATTTAATTTTGCAATATTTTATAGCCATAGCCTGACCAAAGAAACATTCTTAAAGTCCCTCTGACCTTTTCCAGAACAGAAAATTGAGGTCTGGCTGGGATGAACTAAACAAAAGACCTGGTCTCCAGCTGTTTCCTCTCATGCATTCAATTTATCGCACTTGGTGTTCCCTCCAGTGGGACCAGGATGGCTGCTAAGAGCCTCACTCTGCACATGGGGAGACTGCGGCACAGAGAAGGTGGTCCAAGGTGCAAAGGCACAGGCTTCTATCCTCCTCCACCCTGAGTCTCCAAGATGCAGCCACATAGACTCCTGCCCATCCTGCCCATCCTCAGTCCATCTCACCCATGCTCTCCCCACCATGCCGTCCTCCTCCTACCCTGTCCAGAGCCCCCTGCCCTGGTGCTGGTACCAGATTCATTGACTACAGGCAGTGCTGACACTCGCCGATCCACAAAGATGTCCAGTGCGGTCAGGATGGGCGCTGTCTCCAGCACCACAGCCAAGTCTCGGAATGTGCCGATGCCCAAATCTTGGATAGTGCGGCAGAGGAAGGAGGGCCGGGGTAGCAAGGCCCCCTGTTTGGGGTGGGCGCAGTGTGATGAGCAGAGGTCAAGCAGCCTGCCGAGGACTCCCAGCTCCTCCCTTCCCAAGGCTTGGAGACTTGGCTTCTCTGCGGCCTCCCCATGGCTCCCCCTTTCTCCTCCCCACTGGGCCTGGGCTCACAAAGATATGCAGGAATTTGAGCAGCCGCTTGTGTGTGAGGATGTAGAGCACTGTGCCTGACAAGGGGTCCAGGACCGGCAGACGGTGGATTCTGTTCTTGATGAGGGCGTAGACGGCTTCGAACAGGCTGGGGAGGTGAAAGCAGTGAGCCTGGGGCAGCCCAGGAAGAGATGGCCTCCATCCCTGCCTCCTAAATAGGAGGACAGGAACCAAGCCTGCCTGTCTGTCTGCTTCCTAGGATGAGGGAGGTTCAGGGCTGAGTGGCAAGGGGGAAGGAGACTGTGCAAGAAGATGTATTGGTGCCTACCTGTCGTTGGGAGAGATGGAGACCAGAGGCTTGAAGCAGCCTTGAAGGTAGATCTCTGCAGGAAAAGCAGTCAAGCCAGGGGAGCTGCAGCTACGTCACTCTACAGCCCAACTGTTCTCCATCCTGCAGGCACCTGAGGCCCACTATTGCCTTGCACCCCAGGAGCTCCCCACAGCCCATTCTCAGCCTCAGGCCTTGGGAACCACCCTTAACCCCATAGCTCCTCTCTCCACTCACCCCTCCAGGTCTCTATCTTATGTTGTTCAATCTCATAGATCTGGACCTAGAAGCATCAACAGGACTCTGGAAGTCAGATGTGGGCCCTGCAAGCACCAGGCTCCCTCAAGACACCCCTCTGCTCCACCCTAGCCCACTGACAGCCCCAGCCCAAGCCTCACCAGAGGGGACCTGTAGTATCGGTGCAGCACCAGGATGAAGTCTGTGATGGTGAGCATCCCTGAGGGGTAGACATGGCACAGGGAGAAGGCTGGCTGATGGCCTTAGGCGGCCTACGGCCCTTGCTGTGCCCTACCCCTGTACCATACAACATGTCCCTTTTCCACTCCCACCACCTCTCTTCCCAGCCTCTCCTTACCCACAAAACTCTGTTTCTTGCTGTCCCATAGAGGGGCTGCCCGAACGCCATTGGCCACCAGGGCAAAGAAGGCCTTCTTGATCTGAAAGGCAGGAAAGGCTAGCTGGGGGGCTGAGTTCCAGTAGGTTTTCCTCCTCTGTCACAGCCCCTCAGTGGGCACACCCCACCTTGTGGGGGCTTCCTTGTGCCCCCACAAGGGTCCTTCCATGGGGACTTTCTCCCAGGTCCTCCTGGACATGACCCTGCCTGTCTTCCTTGTGCCATGGCACACACTGCCCATGATCACTATTGGGTACATTTACTACTGTACAAATCACACTGGCCAGAGCACAAGGCTACTTGTGACCAGAGGTGCTGAGGGACCCTCAGTAAACATATCAGTGTGTGAAAAACCAAGTTAGTGTTTCCACTTGGAGGTCATATGTATAAATACAGTACAGTGTCTTCCAATCTAAAAAATACAGTTATAATTATTTTGATAGTATTTGCATAGCTACATAGATTTTTCTGTAGATAAATTTTATATTGGCTCATTTTGGGCTCATCCTAAGTAATGCTACCAATACTCACTTTTTGTATTTTTCTAACAAACGTTAAAATTAAAACCAAGCTATTGAAATAAATATACTTTTTTTTGTATTCTTAGGGAAGGGGAGATGGCTCAATGGAATAAGCACTTCCCTGGCAAGCACAAGGTCCTGAGTTCAATCCCTGGTTCTGCAAGAAAAAAAAAAAAGTGCCACATGTATTCTTAGGGAAAGGTCTACAGGGTGTTCAGGGCCTCACAACTAGATTGAACTTATAGTGATTCTCCTGTTTACAGCCTCCCAAGAGCTGGGATTACAGGTACATGCCTCCATACCCAGTCCCAATTGCCTTCTCAGCACACCCCTGGGGGTGGGGCCAGCATGGCATGCCAGGGAATAGAGCAGCCCCTGCACCTGCTTGCAGGTGCTTTAATCTGCTGAGCTATTTGGCCAGCCCAAATATACTTGTTCATAGACCAGCAGAACTGTACTGAGATAACAAACACACACCATGCTTCAGGAATATAACTACCATATGCTAAACTGCAATGATGGCAAGAATAAAAGTACAGACATTTGGTAGCTTAGCCTAATGGAAGAGCAGGTACCAGAGCTCATTCTATTATTGTTAGTACCGAAAGTTCCCTATTTCCCTATCCTTTGTCTTGAGTGGCTCTGCAGTGTCCTATACATATCCCACAGTTTACAAAGCTCTCCTGCTTTGTGTGGCTTGCCTCGAGATTCTTCTGAAATGTCGGGGGCGGGGGGAGCAAGCATTCTGGTCCCTATTTTAGAGATGATGGGGGAAGTGACCTCCTTGATGTTTTGTAGATACTAAGTGGCAGATCTGTGATGACAATTAGAGCATTCTCAAAGAGTATAAAACCCCTCCTGCTCCCCACTGGTCTCCATGGTGCTAAGAAGGAATCTTTAAAGGGTCCTGCAGGGGTCCATACTGGAGACATGCTTGGTGGCTGCAGTGCCATTAGAATGCAGGCTGGGGGGCCGGGGAGATGGCTCAGTAGAATAAGTGCTTGCCTGGCAAGCGCAAGGGTCTGAGTTCAATCCCTGGTTCCGCAAAAAAAAAAAAAAGAATGCAGACTGGACTCAGGCTGGGTGGAGCCAGCGCCTCACCTCCAGGCTGGTGTCGAAGATGACCAACTTGGAGCTGGTTGCCATGGCATCATAGCAGGTGTGTTCCTGCATGAAGTGCATGTAGACCTGCGACCCCGGCTTCTGCAGCTCATCATCCCAACCGAGGCTGAGTAGAGGGGCCTGCGGGGATGGGCTTGGGGCAGGTCTGTCTTTCTCTAGCTCTTTGAGTTCCCAGTCCCAAGCTTCTGGGGCTGGAAACTCCATAGAGAGCTCCAGATCGTCTGTGCTGGAGCCCACGGTGGAGGCTGCACAGTCAGCAGGCAGGAGGTCCCACCCCTTGGGTGGGGTCCCCATCCTGGCCAAGGGAGCGTCTTGGGCCAAGGGTGTGGCTTTGGGGAATGTGGCCTCTAGCCTGGTGGACTCAGCAGCTGGCCTGGACCAGGCACCTGTTGCGGGGGAAAAGGAAGAGATGGCAGTAACTTCATCTTCCCGAACACATTCCCATGTGCTGTCTCAGTGACTTCAAGCAGCCTTGGGAAGCCTCGGTGCTGTGTGGGGCCGAAGCCAAGGATCAGAGTCCTATTGGACAGCAGCTCTGACCCATCTTTCTGAGATGGCCACACTAAGCCCCGGCTCTGTGGGGCAGCTGCTCCCTGCTGTATAGAGGGCCTGAGGCTGCCAGAGGAAGGCTGGATGCAACCATTGCTCCAGACCCAAGACAGAGTCCTGCCCGGGATTCCCACCTCCCCAGAACTGGTCTTGGCCTCACCTTCCCCCGGTCCTGGTGGCTCTCCATCCTCTGCAGCCTCCTGCTTTGTCCTCGATGACATTTTGGCCCCAGGTTTCCCACAGATTCTTTCTGTGGTGCTCATGGCTGGTGATGGCCACAAGAGGCCATCTCCCTGCTCTAGGATGCTCATCTCTGGAAGGGGGAACAAGGCCTACTTGGTTGTAGGAAGTAGTACAATGAGCTCAACTACTGCATTCTTAAGAACTATATTTGCAGACTTCCAAAGGGCTTTTTCTCCAATATACTCATAGCAACATTATAAGGGAAGCATTATCATCATCATCTCCATTTTACTAGTGAGGGACCAAACATCCAAAGAGCTTAAGCAATTTGCCACAAATCACACAGCTAGGAAGTTGTAAAGTTAGCACTGGGGTCCAGGTCTTCAGAAAAGGGAAAAGAGGAGGTGAGAGACACAGAATGGGAAAAAGAGAAAAAGACATAATGAAGCAGAGAGAAGAAAGACCTCTCTTGATAAAAGCCCAGCTAGGTGTTGGGAGTTGCAGTTTCCAGAAAGGTGGACCAAGAAAGTCAGAGAAGCTGGCCCACAGGGAGGGGCATTCACCTACCTTGCTGTTCAGGGCGTCCAAAGTTGCTCCAGACCGGGGTCTACAAGGAGAGGAGTGTCTGAGGGCTGGGGAAGACCTAATTAAACCCAGGGCCTCTCCTTGCCACTGCATGCACATGTGTACACACATGAACATACAGGCGCGCACACACATATGTAAACACACACCCAAACACACCCAGACACATACAAACACACATCAGCCATTCCTAGACACATGGGACCACACTGGCGTACATCCAACAGATTACAGCGTATCTACGTGGGCACCCACGCTCACACACAAAAATATCCAACACTCCAGCAGGCATGCACTCTCACGTGCGAACACACATCCGCAGCCTCGCTCCAGGCGCCTGCTGTCCTGGTGCGGGTCTCCTGGGACCCCGGTACCCTGCGCAGGGCGTGCTCCAGCTCGGGCTCCACGCAGCCAGCCTCAGCTTCAGCCGACGCAAGAGAGTGCGCGACCCGGCGCTGGGCAGCACTATTCTGGGCCGGCCCCTGGCTCCCGGCCTGGCCGGATCGGTTTCTCTCTGATTGGGTGTCAGGCGGCGGGCACTGGGGGTGGGGGAAAGACCGGCCCGTGCAGCTGTGATTGCCCCACAGCCTAGGGGTAGGCTGGGCAGGGAAGGGGCGCGCCTGGGAATCTGGTGCCTGGGCCTCTACGGTGGGGTGGAGTGTCTCTGAGGACAACCTAGAGGGGGGCTGCTATGGGCCGGCAGCTGGGGCTTGGGGGGGGGGGTGCATGGGCGCGGGGAAGGCGGCTGCCAAGTCCTAGAGCCTCTCTTCTTCCTCAGGCGCCACTGTAGGGGGCAAAACAGAGGTGGAGCCGCTCAGTTTTCTTCCTTGTCAAACTTCAGCGAGGCTCTGGAATCAGAAACAACCAATCCTGACCAACTAGGGGCGGGAGACAGGATGAGGGTGTCGTGAATGATCCTGGCAGGGTAGTCAGTGTAAGTCCAGGAGTCCCCCATGGGAGGCCCTCTCTTAGGTCAGGAAAGGAGGGGGCAGCTCAGGCAGGTGGGGAGCGGTGCATATCACTCAAAGGCGCAGGTGGCCTGGAGGGAGTGATCTACCTGTGCATGGGAGACGTCTGGGTATGCAGAGCCCCAACCCCAGCCTCATCGCTCTCCGAATACTAAGCCCCTGTGCCAATGGGATCCCAGCCTGGCTTGGTGCTGCCAGCCCCCTTCCTTGGCATTCCTGGGGCCTGAGTCAGTGTCCCAATAGGGAATGCTGACTCAGCTGCTCTGGCTTTCCTCTTGATGCCCCCCCCCCCAAGCTCTTCCCTCCCAGCCCTTGGCCCTGGTGTGATAAAGTACTGGTTTTCTTTTTTCTGTCTTGCCCCCTTTCTTTCTTTCTCTCCTTTTTCTTTTGTCAGCATTGGGGATTGAACCCACGGGTGCTCAAATACATCCTCAGCCCCTTTTATTTTAGACAGAATTTGCTAAGCTTCCCAGGCTGGCTTTGAACTTATGATTCTCTTGTCTCTAGCTCCTGAAGTAGCTGGGAATTACGGGGTACACCACCATGCTTGGTAAATTGCAACTGGTTTTCTTGCTGAGTTTGTTGAGTATGCTTCCTGTCATCCCTCAGTGTCTGCCCTGACTGCAGCAAAGACAGAGTTGAAGAGAGTAGGAAGGGGACTTGGCCTTCTCATGCATGCGTGTGTGTGTGTGTGTGTGTGTGTGTACGCGCGCATGTGTGTGTGGGGGGGTGGAGATCCACATGTCTTGGTGATACAGTCAGGGAAGACTTTGCTGAGTGGAAAATGGAGAATGGAGCACTGTTTTAAATAATAGGCAGTGGTAGGAGCCCAGTCTGATCTGTACCTATGAAAATGACTCAGGACATTGTGTTGGGGCTGGAAGCTGGGGGATGGGTACTCTAGGTCTAGTGTTGTGTGTCTCTGTGGGGGGGGGGAGGTTGTCCACAGAGCCTGTAACTCATGGATGCTGGTTGGAAACACTCAGAATATTGTGTCCTGGCTGCAGTTTGCTGGCATTAGGGAGGTCATGCAAGAAAGACATGCTCAGGCAGCTGTAAAGGGTGGCTTGGAAGAGGCAGCCTGGGGTCCTAATCCTTTCCCAAGCACGCCCTGTTTTATCCACAGACAGTGAGAGCCAGCTCAAAGAGCAGACAGTAGAATAAGGGATCTCCCTTTACAGCCAGGCATGCTTGGTCAGATAGCCTCAAGAAGGTCACCACCTGTTCAAGAGAGAACAGGAAGAACACCAAGTCTAGAGAATTTGATATAAAAATGATGTGTGCAGAAGCCCACTGGCTGTTACTATTCAAACATAGAACCAATGAGAAGCCAAGGTTCTGCGGGCATTGCTCTGGCAATGAAACCATAAATCTGGTGAGCAAAGCCTGGTTTGACCCTTTTCTCCAACTATCTTCATCTTTAAAATCTATACCAGTGGGAGGAGGGCTGGGAAAGCTATAATGTCTGAGAGAAAGATGTGTTCTAACAAGTGGACACAGGAATAACCGCTCAGTGGCCAAGCCAGAGACCACATGGGAGGGCGGAAGGGGAGCTCTCCCAGGAAGCAGATCCCAAAGAAGCTAGATGTGTCCGGGTGGATTTAGTAATTGCAAAGACCCAGTAACCACTGGATGTTTGCCAGTTTTCCTACGACAAGTGGGGTTTTGATTTAGTTTATTCTGTTCTTCCCCCACTGCTGTCTATGGGGAATGTGCGTGACAATATATTGGTCACTTTTTCCATTGCTGGGACATAATACCCGACTCATGCAACTTAAAGGAGGAGAGGTTTATTTTGGCTCACAGTCCATGGTAGGCTGACTCTAAGGCAGAAACAGCCTAGAGCAGGGGGCTAGAGAAGGAAAGCTCCTCAGTTCATGGCATGAAAGAAGCAGAGAGAAGGGGAGAGCTAAAGAGGAAGGGAAAGGAGAGCAGATATAGTCCCAAAGGTGATGCTCCCACGACCCACTGTCTTCAACAAGACCTCACCCCTAGCAGGCCATTCTGCTATGAATTCATCAGTTGGTTAACTCATTGATGAGGTTAGTACCCTCATTATCCAATGACTTCTCCAAAAGTCTCTTAATCCAGCCAAACTGACAGTCAAGATTAATTGACATGGTTTATCTGTCTTTTAGTTTATAGGTCGCAAGAGCAGAGGGGCCTAGTAGGGGGCTTTTGTGGTTTGGGGCTTTTGTAAGGGGAATGATGTAATGCAGGACACATTTTATAATATTATCGTATAATGAATCACCCAAAGAATCATACACAAGGAGCACAGGAAATCTGTCACACACCAAAGACCAAGGAATCCAGCTGATGGCCTGGATCCTAATATCCTGCATGAGTCCAGCTGCAAATTAGAGCTCATAACAATGCCTCCCACAAGTCCAATTGGAGGCCTAGAGCCCACAAGTCTCATACAGGACTGTTTCATGGATCTGTGCTGGAGAGGCCAAAGGTCAGTGGTGGAAGCTAGGAAGTCTGTGCCAGTGGGATGAAGGATCTGTGCCAGCAGGTGAGGGACCTGAGCTGGAGCCAGGAAGCAATGCTCAAGGTAAGCACCAGAGCTCCCCCAAAGGTACCACAGCCATCCTCAGCAATAGTGAGGTCCTGAGATCCCCCAGCAATAAGGAAAGCTGAGTTCCCATTAGGAAAGCCAACGTGACAAGCTTCTCCATGAGGCTGAGCGTGCACTATCTTGCCCTCTGGAGCCAGGAAGCGATGCTCAAGATGAGGACCAGAGCTCCCCCAAAATGAACCACACCCATTCTCAGTGATAACGAGGTCCTGAGCTCCTCCTCGAACAAGAACAGCCAAGTTCTTCAGGAAGCAGCATGACAAGATCACCCAGCAGAACAGCCCAGGAGAACCAATGGCTTTCAACAGCTTCCCCAAACAGTATCCCTAACAGTGTTTTAACAGCTTCTCCCATTTTGCCTTTTATGCTGCTGGCAACAATCTTCAGGTGGTGCTCCTGCACCCAAGACCAAGCTAGTTCATTTCAGCTGGGTGTAAGAAGTTGACCATCAGTTAGCTATCCACCATAGGGGCACTATCCTTCTTCAGACATTCTGGATGCTATACTCAAATGGAAAAGTCTTGCTTCTCTTTGAGGGGTGATGAATGGGTTCTTTTCTACAGGATGGTCAGATGGATGACTTTTCCCCTTCTTCCTGTACTAGTAAATCTAGTAAACTCTCTACTAGCCCATCTCTATGATGTTAAGTGCAAGATTATAGTTCTCAGCTTCCTTTGCAGATAGTGTGGACTTGTGACTAAGAATGGTTGATGAGATTTGAGCAACAATGTTTGCAACTTACAAGAAAGGACATCTTCCTCTTGCCACTGTCTGGAATTATGATATGATGGTGAAAGCTAGCATAGCCATTTGACTCCAATGGCAGAAAATGCTGGTTAAAGATGATGGAGCTTCCCCTCTTTCCATCCTGGTCTTCCCACTTGTCTTCTTCCATTTTGGATTGCTATAGAAGAATGCCACAGATTGGGTAATTCATTAAGAAAAGAAATTTATTTCTGACAATTCTGGAGGCTGAAGGAATCCAAGATGTACCTGGCAGGCTTTGCAGAATAATCCCGCAGCTGAAGATGGAAGGGCAAGAAGCCATATGTGAAAGTGAAGAGCAAATTTGCTTTTGTAACTAAACCACTCTTGAGATAAGGTGACAGGGTGGTCACCTAACCCTATCCTGGTCAGCCTCCAGACTGTGTGTTAGAGAGAAATAAACTTCTGTCCTAAAGCCACAGACAAGTTGAATCTTTGCTGAGGTAGCCAAGCCTTTCTCCACTTAATATATCCACATTCCAGGGTCATGGTAGAATTACAAGTTACTTTTTTTTTTTTTTTGCAGTACTGGGGATTGAACTCAGGACCTTGAGCTATCTCCCCAGCCCTACAAATTACATTTTTAAAAATTTTTATTTGTATGTGTTTGGATTACCTAATGAATAGACTCATTCTGGGAAGTTGGTGCATGTATGCAACACATCTTAATTATTCTTACTTCTCCCTCTCCTTTGAGAAGTTACATATGTAAATAATGACATACTATATGCAGTATCCCATGTAACCCCTTGTAACTCTATGAGATAAATATTTTTACTTTTGCAGTTGGACAGATGAGAAAACAGAGGCATAAATAGATGAAGTAACTTGATCAAAAGTACCAAAGCTAGAGTGATGGAGCCAAATATAAAACCTGGGCTTTCTGGACTCTAGCACTTACTACTTAACTACTAAACTTTATGGAAAGCACAGGGCTGGCATGTAATACATGCTCAGTAAGTGGTTACTATTATTATGACCTCACCACCTGCTCCCTGCACCCCCAGATCTCCAGCCAGGGCATTCTCCAGGCAGGCAGGCAGGCAGGCAGGCACTGCGGCACTCTAACTCTCCAGGCATTGTCTCCTGCTGCCCACAGACTGGAGGTGGACCCCAGCTCGGGACAGACACCAGAGCT